AGAAGAAATTGAAGAAATCGAGGCCAATAGAGAGTTGTCTATGCCTGAGTGTTGAGTCTGGTTATAAAAATCGTTTTCAGATATTCGAACATTTATTTAGTCTATTATTGTGTCTTGGAGACGCCCTTGGAAAATCTTTTCGTCACATTTTCACGCACGCTGAGTATCTGGATGTATATAATTGATAATTGAATAGTTCAATATTCACTCATTTGCATTGTTATGTAAATGAATATCCGGATTCTTGAACTTTATATCTGAATAGTGCGCTCCTTGCAAATAGGCAACTAAGTTTTGGCATCAATAGCCTAATCATCTTTGAACACTCAAATACATTCTCTTATACAACGCTATGTATTTCAAGAGAAGTTGATAGCAAATGATACATTTAACTAAGAGCGAGAGAGAAAAGAGACGATGCAAGAATTCAATGAAATACCACTCTCACGTTGAAGCCAACGGCCGTCCTCACTCTAACATGCTTTACTCTGTCTGAGTTGCTATGGTTCCTTGAACTTTGCCGTACTTGCTGAATTTCTATAGTATCTTGATATCCCCCGGAGTCGCTTGGATTACTAGGGTTCTTGTGTTAGCTGGATTCCGTGAGTTCCTCGAGTGTTCCTTGCAATTAGATAGCTCTTTGGATTTTATGATTACTCCGAACTCCTGCTATTTCTAGAGTTCCTCAAGTTCAGTTAGCAAGTAAAATTCTGAAACACATCATTATCAAGCGTTGTTTTGCATTACTCCTTATGGTAAAAATAAAGTTTCGAAAATCTTCGAGGATTCAGAATATTCGATCACCACTCTTTTATTTATTGATTCTAATATTAAAGTGTATGATCTTGAATTGGTTCAGTTGAAGGCACTTATATTTTGTTTTGCATTGGGCATCTGAATCTATTTATAATTGTTATTTCTTAAGTGTAAACCAGAGATTGTATATCTAATTATGTTCATTACTGGAATGGAGAAGGTCGCTTCTTTCATATCCAAATGATCAGGACTGACCCTACTGAAAGGAGAGAGCGACGCCATCTAATAATTAGAAAATTTGTTTGTTTTTCGCAATTAAAAATTTTAATAAAATTTCATATGAAAATTGAAGTGAATTAAAATCAGTGAAGATTTAAACATAGATTCAATCATAAGAAATCTTGTTATATTGAGTTCAAATCCTTATTGGTTTGGTCAGGAAACTGTTTTAAAAATGCTGATTCTAAATCTTTATCAGATTGGGCTCAATCAAATCTTTTGCTGGGTTGAAGTGATCACTACCATTGTCGCAAATCATCACTTGATTTTATCGCTAAAATTAGAAATAACTCATTGATACGTTGTTTTCATATTTTATATTTTTATATGAATTATGCTTACTCTCATATGATATTTAAATCACGTTGATAATCATACACAAAGAGATAAAAGAAAGAAAAACTTGTATACGCTTATCGGAAAATAATGCTTCGATTTTATTGATGGCGCCACGTATTTTCTAGGTCAAAATTTTTATATATTCACAGCAAGAAAAATTTATGGTTGTTTTTTAAATTGAAAAGACTTGTTTAAGTGTATTATTTTTTTTCTCACTTATTACTATACCATATCTAAATTTTATTAATCGAAATACAGCGACTATATGATGATAACTAATGAACGATCACAAAAAATTATACTAAAACAATCATATTCAAATAACTGTCTATCAAATCATCAATACATTTCTTCTCTATTGCAACACTATGATTCTACTCAGTCATTACCAATTGTACTCAAAGAAAAGACATCATTTGAACAATTTATGTCAGAAGAAAAAAATAATTTGCAATTATTTCCTTCATTTAGAAAAACAAGCAAAATATATCATTATGAAAAAGATAAGAAAAAATTATTGAGATACTTTCATTTATTACCACATAATGCATCAAACCATCACTATTTAGCATTGAATGATTCAAATATAATTGATGATGAAAATACGACAGCATATGCAGCTCGTTCGTCAAACATTGCATTCAATACTTTATCGACTATATCAGATATGAGAAAAACAAAAGTTGTAACTGACGTTTTCAGACATAAAGCGATAGGCATTATTGGTGTGAACACAGAAAAACGCAAGCATTCCGTCGAAAGTCTTATTAGTTATATAAATAACAATCAAACCAAAGCTACTCTTTGTCTTATTTTACAGCGTGATGCATACATCAATCAGAAGATTTTATCTTTACAAAAAGAATCCAACAAAACAACGGATTATTATGTACAACAAAAAAAGGTACAATAAGATTATTTTTCTTTTGAACAAAAATATTGGTCTATTAAATAACATAAGAGTCAGTTCCAACAAAATAATCTCCTGATTTTTAATATTTGAACTATAAACTCGAAGAAATTCAAATCAACTCTCATATTTATGAAATTTCTCCAAAGATACCTGCAAGACTTGATAAAATATTGTCGGACATTTTCATGATGAAGAAACAGAATTAGACGAAACGTTATTTGCTTGCGAACATACAAGTATTTTACTAAATTAATAATTTTCATTTCGCGTCAATAATTTTCTTCAGCGTCCATTAGACATCGTATGTATTATGTCAAACTAATATGCGTACTCGTGCTTACTTAAACATAGAGACTACAAAAACTGAAACTATAACAATCTCTAGTAAGAACTAAATATCCGAAGCTGGTTGGATAAATCACATGAGGAAAGATTGCCATCCATTCGAGCTTCTTTCGATGATAATTCACATTAGCAGCTAAGTAGCAAAAAAAAGAAAACTTAATAAGCCATACGTAAATTGATGAACTCTATCTAGTAATATGATCAAATTTAACAAGAACAGAACTCGATCGTAAAAGATGAAAGTATTCAATATACCTCATAGGAGCAAGTTAGTATTCTTTGTCAACTCAGTGACGGTTTGTCTGAATGCAAAAGTTACTCTTGAATCATAAATCGATCGATGTAAAATTCTTCAAAATACTACAGAATAGTGTATAATTCACGTTAAGCAAACTATTTAACAGATGCCAAGGTTATTTACTAACTTCAAAACCTATTGTATAGAAAGTAACGTTTGTCATCACTTATCTCAAAACTTATGTCAGTCATTTGTTTTATACTGATCGATGCAGAATTTCGAGCTCTGTCGAGTGGTAACCACTTGCTTGAAAGTCTTTACACAAGAGATCGCTTCGCAATGTCGAGTCTGTTCCACCATAAACTATTTAAAATTATTTCATTAGAAGTCAAATTGTTAAAGCTCGTAGAAGATAGATCACCAATTGAAAACGAATACTAATTTGTCCCTGTTAGACATATAGAATACTTATATGTTTTATGATAGAGTTCTGTTTTTGTCTAATTTAATCGTCTTGTTAAATACAGTTCGTTGATCTATGCATAGCTTATTAATTTTCTTGTGTTGCTTAGTTATTGATGGGAATCGTCATCGAAAGAAACTCAAATCGGTTGTTATCTTTCCTTACATGAGTAGTTTTTTTCTAGCCTCAACCCAATTACAGAAAATGTTAACATCAAATAATACAACAGACATAGAGGAAAATAAAGAAAGTGAAGTTTAAGGGTCTATAGTCGTTATACTACCGTATGTTAACATAATGATATGAAAAAACATCACTTCCTTTGATTCAAATAAGTAATGTTTTACTTTTCTGTTTTCAGTACAGCTCATTTCTTTTCCCTGTCAGGTGACTAAAACTGCACGTATATAATAAAGCATGAAAGGTTGTTGTTTTGATTGTCCACGTATCATTGAATAGATGTATGCTGATGGACTAAAAGTTATTGTGTAAACTAATGCAAAAAAAATTTAACTCATGAGAGAAACGTCATATAGAATAAGCAATGATCAAATATAGAAGTCTTTTTCATTTAGACAAGACATGAGAAACGTTAGAAGCATATTTTTGGATGCTTTGAGAAAGATGAACATCTCCATATCATCGTAATACTTTTACAATTCGTTTGTTCAAACTTGGTTATTATGGCATGACACTTGTATTACTTGATGAATGCAAGATTTCGCATTGATCTGGTGAGATCTCTAATTTGACGCTGTTGGTCATTTTCAACCAAGTGACATTAAGTCACAGTTAATGTATCTGAAATGCTTCTCCTGTAGTGCATACTAAAATGAAATATATTGCAATTAAATGTTGCTGCTAATAGTATCGCAGACTCTACCATAGAAATCTGTCACAGTCAGACTGTATCATAGTTTATTTGCTAACTATTCATTTGTCGCTTTGTTTTGCTCAGACACTATATATAATCAACTTAAGTGATCATACTGTACTTGTATATTTTCGTATGTCTGTTTTTGTTAGATTGTTTCTCGATGAATCATTGATCGGGAACCTACTGAGAGATCTATCGATGATCATCGAGAAATCTTTGAATCGAATCCGTTTTTTGAATGTAAATTTTAGTTACATGATTCACCAGATAAACAAGTCGAACTGGACATCAGCACAACATCAACACTTGATTTTATGTCAACATCTAATTTGAATGACGCACATCAAGTAGAAACGAATGATAGCATTGATATTTCAACACAACTATCAAATAATTCAGTTTCCTCATCAAAATTATTTTTGAATCATAATAATGATTTACTCGCGTTCTACAATCAAGCAATAATTAACAATAGTGAGTATTTGTGTACATGGTTACCAATTTGAGAGGAGATAGCAAAGGCTCTCTTTCTCAGAAAGTATCGAATTTTTTTTCAAAACTTTTTACAGTTTCGAAGGAAACCGTGACAGAAAGGGAGATTCAGTGGTTTTATATCTGCTTTTGACAGAAATACTCATAAGAAGACGTTTTCTCTCTGACAAAAATTACTGAAAGTCAATGGTTTCAACACCTCTCACCCTTGAAAACCGCGCTTATGTATATAAAAATAGTTTTCTTTATCTTAGATTCTGTATTTAACAAGTCATCCAATAGTATTGTATCAAATAATATGGTATCTGATAAAGAAACTAATATATATAACACAATTCATTTATCACCGACACAAGTAGGAAAATCTGAAAATCAACAAGCATTTACTTCTACTAGGCCTGATCGTCCAAAATCTGCTATTGAGAAAAAAGTCACTAGAAGTGAAGATAAAACTGTGGGCTGTTGTTGCTTAACCAAAAGTAAAAGCAAGATGAATCACGATACAATGAAGATCATCGATATATCTATTCTCAAAAATGCACATGCAAAATATACATTAACAACTCCATCGCAAAATATTCATACACCTGTAAAATCCATTGGATGTGTCGAAATGAAAGATCCAACATTGAATCAAACTGAGTTAGTTTATTCAATATTATTTCGAATTTACTAGATTCAATTTTAGAATAAACATACATCATCAATCTGCTATACTTAATTCGTCATTAACAGATCATAATTGTCATAATTCTGAATCTTCAGTAGATCTGCAAAATTTATTTATGGAGTCAAACGAAAATAAATCCTTACTTCCATTACATTCACGATATTTCGTTTCATTTGAATTTGCTAATCGAGAAGAACATTTAGTTGAAGTTGCTGAACTTGAACGTTCATTTTATCGAGTTTCACGTATGAATATATATAAAACAGTACGTGAACGTTTGGCTATAATGGATCTAATTGACATTGATTTGACAACTTTATTACGGGTGATTTTACAATCTTTTCCATAGCTAAATATATTTGTTACATTAAAACAAATATTCACTCATAATATCATTATTAATTAATTATCAAATAAAAAAGAATAGTTGTTTGAATTAAATCAATACATTTCTGTATCATTATAAATTAATATTGCTTATCTGAGAACTCAAAAAGTAAGTAATATGCTTAAGGAAGGTTTAAGAAAAAAGTTATTTACTCATTTTGAGTCATTAGAATAAATAATGATTACGAATGACAATTTAACTTTTAAAATAATTCAATAAAATAGTTTAAGTTTAAAGTATTACTCCTACTTATGATACACTAAATCGCAATCAGTCATTGAATATCTACACACTTGTAATTAGAGCGTGACATAATTGTGTTACCTTCATTTTCTTTCTCTTGTTTTTTCTATATATGAAATGTTCAAAATAATTCTGATATAAAGGACCCTGCCGGATTTCTCAACTTATTCATTTCGAAAAACAAAATACAGGGTTTTGTAGAGCTTGAAAAGTTACATCTAATGGTGTATAAATCAGATTGGTTCCTGTTCAATTTTAAGAATTTTTTCTATATGGAATATCGAAGGGGTATGATCAAATATTTAGGTTCAAAGCATTAGACTATCATATGGAAATGACTCTTATCAGAATATGATAACAATTATTGTCTTACATAGTTTTGTAGAGCTTTTTTCGCTCTACAATTTTGCTTATTTCATTATCTTGTTTTAAAGAAAAAAATTTTTTTTTTAATTGAAAATATCTAAATTTTTAATGAAAAATCCAGGATTTCAATTTTTTTGATATTTTTGTGATCTTTCATTGTTCTTCAAAACCTAGTGGCACCAACGTGATTTTTTCTCAGAAACTGCACCTAGTCATGATCTATCGTTAGCCATAAAACCATATTAAAAATCGAAATAGTTTTAGAGAAACATAGTTAACACTGTAACAACCTTGCATATTTTTTATATTTTTTAGAGACTGTTTTCTAAGGTTTTTTGAAGCTTTTTTTACTAATGATATTACGAAAGTTTCTGAAAATTTTACGGGACCTAGAAATCAATAAAAACGAGGTAAGATTGTCTTATGCTGATGAATTTTTGATACTTTTTTCTTGAGAGTATAGAAGATAATGGAGCTTGAAACTGCTTAACCTTTTCCCTTATGATAGAAACTTCATCTTACATTTATCAAAATTATATTTTCACAACTGATATATAATGAAAACACATTTAGTTTTGTTTTCTTTATTTAAAATAGTCGTTTTCTTCAATAAGAATACGTAAATAAAATAATTATTGGTAAGAAACATGTACTTTTAATAAATTATTAAAATACTGAAAGAGTGTGCATGTTCTAATTTTCTACATTGTTTCACAATGAATGAAATGTATCAACAGGTTCAGTTAAGATTTGATACAAATTAAATACACAAAACTTATTAAGAAGTGTTATTGAATAAATAGAATAGGATATATTTGTTTTTTTTTCAATGTATTGATTTGATAAGGAAAGATAGTAACAAAATCAAAACCAATTGTTTAGCTTGTGTTACTAGTTAGAAAAAATTCCTATTTTCTGATAATATGAAAGGAAGATCTTTCTTTATATATTTAAGTAACGAGAAAAATTGAAATATTTTTGTTTAGTATATGAATATTATTATTTGCCATTGTATTATGTATTTGTCAATTAGGTTCTACTAGTTGCATACGTAAAGACATATCCTATTTAACATTTTTTCTAATTGNTATTGAAGATTTAGTTCTGACGGATATATATTTATTGATTTATGATCGAAGTACAACCATGGTTATGATTTAGACACTTATAACCTATAAAAACTAAACATGAATAATTTTTTTATCAATTTATATTTAGAAAATCGTTCTTTATCGTATAATCTGGTTTGTATTAATACGATTTCTTGTCACAACTTGATAATTTTCACAAACATACATGATAATTACTCGAATTTTTTTTGGATAAATAGAATTTAAACTATTAGAAACACCAATATAATTGACTCTTCTGCATAATTGAAGCTAATCTTTATTATTATTTTTTTTATCTTTTCCGTATCATTGAGTGCACTCAATAATAATGTCAACAAAAAGACATTATCACAACAAAGTATATGTTTTTTCCAATATAAATTCTGTCAGTTTCTTTCAGCTCTTCTACTTAAAACTCTCATATATCAAGTAACTTATTGTCTAGAAATATTCTGTTATTAGTACTGATATAAACATAATTCATGTATAAAGCAACATCAACCGCAATTCTATACATAGCTACAAGAGAAAAATGCATAGTTATCTATTGCCGATGAATCTTAGCTGTATTAGATATGCGGGTTGTTTATCTTTTTTTCTTCGGTTAGTATAGTATTAGAATGGTTCTTTTGGATAAATATCACGACGATAACATTATTGAGTTCCATTTTACATTATTTCATAAACTCTTGTGTAAGATGTATTTAGATAATAAGTTGACTCTGACTTATATTCCATCAAGAATGTTTGAAACATGTTTATCCTTTTTGTAAAGTTATTTTTCAGTCTTGTTCGAATAGACATTTAAAATCAGACTTTTGTTGTTTTTTCTTACCACATAGAGCTACTAGAAACGAACCCTCAAGGTAAAGTATTGAAATCGTGAGTGTATTTGCATTAATACTGATCGTAGTGAAAAGCGGAAATAAAGTAAAAAAGTTTCTTTTTTTAGGCTACGTCTGCCAGCTAGGATAATTAAAAAAAAACATTCGTTTTTCTACTTTGCGTTATCTTATGCAGTTAATTTCTTCATGGTCACGTATAGTTTTTTGTATTTTATCGAACAAGTAAACATCTGTGAACTAAGAAGGCCCTATGAGCTATATCCATTCAATGATTCACGGCAATGCAAGTTGCTTCGCAACATATGCCTTGAAACATCAAAAATTAGTATATCACCTTGTCTATACTCTAAAAAAAAGTTTTATTGAGAATCGACAAAAATAGATTTCTGGACCGATTCCGAAAACCTATTCAGATTTACGAACACTTGGTAGATCTGTTCTGGACGATCTTCAAGAAAACCTTTTTTTACTGTTACATTCTATTGTGTTCTTTTTTACTTCCTCTATGTTATAAATATCATCGACAACACTGTCAACATTGATTACTTGATCATGATGAATATTAAGCATATTACTTTTTTTAGATTTCTTTCTTATTGATCGGTCACTATTAATTGATAATCATCATTTGATATGGGTAATAAACAACAAGGTGGCAAATCTTCATCAACAGAATTAACTGCAAAACGTGAGTAATTTCAATTGATTTATTTCGAAATTCATCATTTTATTTGATTTATTATAGATATTGCTTTACTCAAAGCAAATACTAGATACACTGAACAAGGTAAATAGCTCTTTTCTTTCGTTTTTATTATCTATTTCTTTTTGTTTTTTGATATTTAGAAATACAACAATGGCATGCAGTAAGTTTAATTGATGACTAGCTTTTTTTTCTTCACTTACTTCTTGTTTATATTAGGGATTTCTTCGTGATTGTCCTAATGGTAAACTTGACAAGAAGAAATTTATCGAAGTTTACAAACAATTCTATCCACAAGGCAAAGCAGACAATTTTTGCAAGTATTCTTTTATATAACAATATCATACGATTATGAAACGTATCTATTGATTTTTAGATATGCTTTTAATACATTTGATGCCAATAGTGACGGTTCCATTGACTTTGAAGAATTTCTTTTAGCTATTTCAGCTACAAGTCAGGGCAGGCTTGATGATCGTCTTGCTGTTGCTTTTGATATGTAAGTATGTCAGATATATCATTACCTTATGTATGATCTTTTTGATACGCAGGTATGATATTTCGGGTGATGGAGAAATTGATCAAGCAGAACTAACGAAATTGATTACTGCTATGGTACAGTTTTGATTCAATTGTACAACTAAAGCAATCTTTATTCCTTGCTTTTTTTTCAGTATGATCTTGTTGGTGAAACTGATCGTAAAGGTGATAATGATCCAAAGAAACGTGCTGCAGATATTATTGCCAAAATTGATGTTAGTGGTAACAAGAAATTAAGTAAACAAGAATTCATTGCCGGGTATATTTCATTTTATCATAGAAATATCACTTTTTACTTTTAAATATTATTTTTTCATTAGATGCAAGAATGATCGTGTTATTCGTCGAATACTTGCCCCTAATGTTTAAGACATCAACAACAATAACAATACACTATGACATTGGTTTTCTTTTCTCTTTGCATATATTTATCGTGTCTTCATATTAGTAATATTAGTAGAAACCGCATGAATTGCTTTTGATTTCACGAAATAGAAACGAGTTTTCAGATTGATTTAGCAAAATGTTTTTGTCTATTGCATAATTAAGTGAAAATTTTCTTTGAATTAGTATTTAAATGTGAATCATAGTAATGATGATTATAATAAAATACATATAATACAAAATAAAATCTTATTTGTTCATTGATTTTGACAGCGAAAAAAGTTTGGAGTTTTTTTATTTTTGAGATGTAAGATACGTATTTGTTACAGTATCGATTAGTTATTATCAAAAAACAATAGCAGAAACATTCTTTTGTTACTTAAATAAATAATCGAAACTTTATTAGCGATAAAAATCTTTTTAAAACCTTCGTATTGGTTTGAACAGTCTATAATAAATACGAAGGATTAAAAACTTAGAAGAAAATAAAAGACGCCTTTGAAATGTGCAAAGTGCTATAGAATAAACAAAAAAAAACAAGCTATGATGTGTTTAATAATAGATAGAATTCATGCATCTCTTGGTTATGCAAAAGAATCACAGAATTGATTATTCATCACATTCACACAATGTTCGTTTATTTGTACATGCATGCTTTTATTGAATGGTTCAAAGAAATAAAATATACAATAATCTATTACTATCAAGAGTTTCACTCAATTATATATTCGAAGACTTCCACATTTAGTACTGCTGAAAAATATAAGA